TTCAGCTTTACACATAGACTGCCATAATTCTTTTAACTCATTATTCCAATATGGTTTCCTGCTACGTAACTTTCTTTTAGAACAATGGTTGTCTCCAGCTTTATTATCAACCTCTATTTCTTTATTGATCAGTTTACAAAAACTACCATACCAATTATCTAGACTGTGTTGTTCTCTAAAACAAAATTGTAAATCATTCTTCAATTTCAAAAAAGTTAATTGTTGTAAACCAGAAGACAAAAAGTTGGTTGATAAAACCCTGCTGACTTTCTTTTTTGTAGAGGAACGTAGGTGACTCTCTTGAAGAACTGTATGTTCATAAGCCTCAGTCTTTATTAAGAATTTTAACAACAATAGAGAATGATCTGGGACTCTACATCTTTCTCCAATTAAATCCATGCAATTTGCAAGTTTAATTAGTTGATTTGGAGCTAATACTTCAAATGAGTCACAGATTTGTAAGCAGTCATATGGTACAAATATATAGTCAACTACAGCTTTACCCTTAACAGATACAGATGTATAATTATCATTCAGTGGGCATGTCCTTCCATTAACAATGTATAATTTTGATTCTTTTAAAAATTCGATCATTGATTCCCCATGCCTATTTACAAAATCATCCAAAGAGGATCTAGGGGGCATGTCATCCACTTCTTTTACATAATCATCAAATGCACCAATCCTACTGTTGAAATCTCCACAGACAAAAATTGCCTCAACTTCTGAACACAAATAAATTTGACTCAAAAGATGATTAAAGAAAAGCGAGGCGTCCTTTCCCCATACTGACATTGCAGGTGGCAAATAAAAGGTGAAAACTACAAATATATATCCTGATTTCAAATGGAGGAATTTCAAACCTAAAATACCATCCACCTGTTTGTCTATGACATCTATTCTATAAAGTTCCAGCAGATCATTCTTAACAAAAAAACCAATGCCCCCTGAACCCTTGGGAACATTCACATGTTTCACTCTATTATAACCAAACCACTTATAACCGTCCAGGTCAATTATACAGATGTGTCTCATTCAACGAAATTATGTCCAGTTTCAAAGTATGCAAAATAACAGATCTTAACTTACAGTTTCCTACAGACCATCCATTCACATTCCAGTGTGCTAGAGTGATAGAGTGATCATGATGGGCCAAAGAAACATTTCATCTTCTGTGATCTGAAACACGGCGTGGGTGATCTTCATCTCGTTTCACAATGCATCCATTCCCCGTCACCACAAAGTCTTTCCCTGCCAGGATCTCCTTTAATATGGTGTGGAAATTCAAATCCAATAGTCTCTCCACATGTGATTTTGCTGAGCGAATAAACACCTTGTTGTATCGATCATCATCCCTTAATTTCTGCTTCCTTCTCAATATCGCAATTTTATCCTGGACTGAGGCCAGCTGGATCTTGACTGGGCCTGGTCCGTGACCTCTTGGCTTCAGCCTCTCCACTGCAACCAGGCTGGGCACAGTTGCGCACCTCAGCCCCTCTGATAGCAGTTTGGACACCTGTTCACCTTCCTCAAAAGGCAAGCCAAAAATCATTATGCCGGTTTCTGGGTTGAAGTCCGCCGTAGCAGTCTTCTTAATATTTCATTCCACCTGGTCACTACGGGCCATCAATATTCCGATTTCAACATCCAGACTGTTCTGCATCACCTTGGTATTTTTCTCAATTTCCATTTTAAGAGCATCTTGGTTTTCTTTTGTTAATTTTAACATCTCTTCATAGAAATTGTCAATTTTACTATTAAAGTTCTTGTCCAAGGATGCATGTAAACTTCTTATCTTTTCGTCAATCATCCTCTCCAGGCTGTCATTCAATCCAGCGATGCGCTCGTTTAGTTTTCTTAATTCTTGAGTGATCGCCTGATTCTCATTTGGCTTTTGTCGGCATTGCTCCGCAGAGTCTTCCCACTACTTGTCTCAGTCATTGTTGCGTTTTAGTTGCAACTTCTTCAACAGATGAGTCATACTAAATAAACAGTCCTTCTGAGAACTAATGAATGTCAATGTAAGTTCTCTATTAGGTGTTTTTCATCAAAAAAGAAAAATTCTAGACACACAGCTCCACATGTAACATGCGTCTTGAACCAGAACCGGAAGTAATAGTCAACCGCGATAAACTCAATAAACTATTTAAATATTTACTATTTAAATCACGCTGACAGTGTTTGAGCCAACCACAAGAATGTGTGGAATTTCGTTTATTTCATTTATTGTTTGCCCTATCCCGGTGCAAACAGCGTTTTTTGACGTCCATGGTCCAGTTGTGGAAAAATCAAACATCCCAGTACAATAAATTAAAACGCACCCCAAGCACTGTGTTTTGGAAGTACTGGAGCACATAGGGGTGGCTTATCACCTCACATCCTGGATCCTGGACTACTTCATGGACCAGCTGCAGTATGTCAGGACCCAGGATTGTGTATCGGACTTGGTTGTCTGCAGTACGGGGGCCCTGCAGGGGACGGTGCTGGCACCGTTCCCCTTCACCCTCTACACTGCAGACTTTTTACACAACACCCCCACCTGTCATCTGCAGAAGTTCTCTGATGACTCTGCCATCGTTGGCCTCATCACAGATGGGGACGACAGGGGGTACAGAGAACTGAACCAGGTCTTTGTGGACTTTGTGCAGGTTAACTTCTATCACAGCGGTGCCTGGATAGTGTGACGTGTGTGGTTGTGCTGCTGCCGTGGTCCTGCCAGATGCCTCCTGCTGCTGCTGCCATCATTAGTCATTAGTCATACTTCTACTGTTATTATACACATATGATTATTGTCACATACATATACTATTAGATGTTAATATTTACTTTCAACATACTGTACCACAATAGCCAGAATCATAATTATAATATTATTACTTTAATTTAATGTTGTTGTAAGCTATTAACATTATCGTCTGTCCTGCATCTCTCTCTCTCTTATCCGCTGCGAGGGTCATAAGGACAGAGGGATTTCGTATGCTGTAAAGCCCTGTGAGGCAAATTGTGATTTGTGATATTGGGCTTTATAAACAAAATTGATTGATTGAGTGATTGATTGGTGCCTGAGGAACCACCTTCAGATCAACGCGGGGAAAACCAAAGAGCTGGTGGTGGATTTCCGCAGGCTCAGACTCCTCCTCCCAACACCGGTGAACATCCAGGGAAAGGACATTGAGATGGTGACATCTTATAAGTACCTGGGTGTTCAGCTTAACAATAAACTGGACTGAACTGATCACATAACAGCACTATACAGGAAAGGCCAAAGCAGACTTAACTCCTGAGGCGGCTCTTTTGGTCTTTTGGAGTGCAGGGGGCGCTCCTGAAGACCTTCTTTGACACTGTGGTGGCATCAGCTATCTTTTACGGAGTGGTCTGCTGGGGCAGCAGCGTCTCGGCTGCAGATAGGAAGAGACTGGACAAGCTGATCAAGAAGGCCAGCTCTGTCCTGGGATGCTCTCTGGACTCTGTGCAGGTGGTGGGAGAAAGGAGGATGACAGCCAAGTTGTCATCTCTGAGGACTAATGACTCCCATCCCCTGCAGGAGATAAAAGCTCTGGAGAGCTCCTTCAGCGATAGACTGATTCACCCAAAGGGACACTAAAGACACTTTATTAACACCACAATAAGCATTGCTGTCCCCCTTGTTGTTGTTGTTTATTTGCACATACAATATTCACATTGCACTAAATATGCTCACTTTAATCCATTGCTCACTTTTTATCCACTGCTCATTATTATTATTATTATTATTATTATTATTATTTATTGCTGTTTCTTGTATTTTTTTTTTTTTTTGTATGCCTAGTTTTTTAAGTTTTTAGATATTGAAATCTTTAATTTGACTCTTTCCCCTTGACTGCTGTAACACTGGAATTTCTCAATTATGGGCTCAATAAAGGTGTATCTTATCTTATCTTATCTTATTATATTATTATTATCTATCCATCCGTCCATCTATCCATCCATCCATCCATCCATGCGGTATTGTACAGCCTGGCTCAGCTGTCTATCTGTGAAACTGAAAACAGAATTATACAATCAACTCCAAATTTGTGCTAAGACTATTGGCCAACCTGTGGCAAACTCCTTTAAAGCAGCCCACAAACAGAGCATGCTTAGACTTGCTTACAAACATTTCTGACCCCTTGCATGATCTACACAGAGAATACCATCTTTTGTCCTCCAACAAGCGATTCAGAGTCCCTCCATTTAAACATAACAGGCTGAAATATTCATTTATACATCAGTCTGTCCTGTTAAGATAAGATAAGATTAACTTTATTGTCCCAAATGTGGGAAATTTGTCTTGGGCTGTAAGAGGTGACCGTCACTGCTCACATGAACACTTGATAAGAACACATAGCTTACATAAAGACTAAGTGAAAACTGACAGAAAATTAGGACATACACATAGTACAAGTAAGACATACACAGTACAGTACATTCTCCTGTTGCTAAACCAAAATCAGTGTGCTGCTCATTAAGATTAAGTCTATTAGCACAGACAAAGCCCTCTACCTTGAGGCCCCGTTGCTCCTGCGCTGCTTGCTGAAGAGGGTGTAGGATGGCGGACAGCCCTGTGTGCTCCCTCATATACTGTGGGGTCGGCATGTGTATTGGTAGGCATGTCTTGATTGGCAGGCTTTGTTTATGCAAATCTCAATGGATGAATGTGATTGGAGGAGTATTATCCATAGAGTCCAGTAGAGGGCTCTGCCTGTGCTCATAGAACTAGCATTACAATATTGTAACCTTTGTTTCAGCTCATTGTCTAGCTGTTTTGGTTCACCTCACTGGTCTCATGGCAGTGTTTTCACAGCAGGCTGTTCTCAGTGAAAAAAGGTGTAAAAACCTACTGTACCTGCTCAGCCAGTAAATATTGTACTTACATTTGCCAGGTGATGATATGTCAATGTTGTGTTCACAATTTCTGCCCCTAAGTAGTCACACAAATTCTTTATTGCAAGTGTAACTGCATCTAACATCCTGTCCTACAGATGGAAAGGAGAGAATGTATCCACTACAGAGGTGTCAGAGGTTTTAGGTCTTCTTGATTTTATCCAGGAGGCCAACGTCTACGGAGTCACCATACCAGGTCTGTGAAATCTTAGTGTTAGCCTCTGATTTCTAATACTGCATAATTGACAGAGTCAGTCTCTTTGCCAAGTATGTATTGCCACTATGAACAAAATGTCATGGCAGCACAGCCAAAATTGAGTACAGCCAGTGTAAGGGACTGCATTGATAGGGGCCTGATTCTTTTCAGGTACCAATCAGACGGTGATGAAGTTGAGACAGATATTGGTCCCAAGATCAAATTTCCATACCAGATAGCCTTAGATGTGGACAACTGTATGGACAACATCCAGTTCAGTTCACAATGTGACCTTGGCAGTATAGACCATTCAACCCCTTTTTTTTTTCCTTCTTTTTTTTTAAATTTCCTGCCGAACCCAGAGGAAAGAAAAATTCATAGTAAGATCTCTTCTTTGTTTAGCCTGTTTCTCCTTGACATAACTGAGCTCGATATAATATCAATATGAGCCCTTTTTGAGCTCATGCGTGGGTGCTGTAATACAGTACACAGATCTATCCACCATACCAAAGTGATAAAAAGAAAGTTTCTCAGAAACAGTGTTGAAGTACTTAAAACTGATGACATTATCAGAAGCCTGTAGCACAGTACATTTGTCATCACTGGTATTATGTTGAGAAACTCTGAATGTATAACCACCCACTTACACTTGTTTTCCAAATCTAAAGTTTGCTCTTGTTTGTTCATTATGATTTTTTATTTAATGTGACATTGAGTATGTGACTTTCTCCGATGTGTGTGTATGCAGGATATGAAGGTCGGGCAGGTATGGCGGCTATTGTCTTAAAACAGGATCACAAATGTAATGGACCAAAACTCTACAACCATTTAGTAAAAACACTTCCTGCGTATGCCTGGCCTTGGTTTCTCAGAATACAGGTAAGTCATGCAGGTGTTGTTATTTTTAAAGTCCCCCTCCAGATATATTCTAAACTCTGCTATGGTTATTATTTTGTTTTAACATAATTTCCCAACATGAAAAAGTGAAAAAAAAACTCTAGCCCAGCACTAAAAGGAGGTAAGTCTGGCTATATGAAACTAATGTTTGGTTGACTGGTGGAAGAGCAGTGCAAATCAAGATAGCTAGCATTAGAGAAAACATCAGAGAGATCCAGCTACACATGCTTTAGTCTTAGTCAGATGCAGACTTAGATGAGAAGTCTGTTGTGCACCAAAATTGGTGACTAGCAGACGTAACAGAATGCTCAGTGAAGTAAGCATCTTTTATTTGTTCATGTTGTTTGTTAGCTTTTTATCTTTTAGGCCAACTGACATAGTGTTGGTAGCTGTGAAACAAACAATATTCAGGGCTGCCAAGTTTTCAGAAAACTTTGAAGTTAGATCTGATGCAAGTTGGGTGCACACTTTGCATGCGCAGCAGGATTTTTTGGATGCCTGTTCGGGGTTGCTACCACACACTGAAGACATTTGTTTTTATAAAATTTGTACTTAAGGACAAATTACTATGTATAGCTACTTCCCCATTTTCATGACTTCTAACCCTAACCCCATCCATTAAACAATGAACAGAGTAAAAAAACATTGCCCACTAGAGGGATCATTGACCTGGTGGCCAAAGACTGCAGCCTCAGTATTTTCAGCAATGTGGACAGGATGAAGTTGGTGGGTTGGAGTGACTGAGTCAGAGAGGGACATTCACTTTTTAGGCTGGTGCCCTACACTTCAGGGCCCAGCAAAAAATTGACTTTGTGAAAAGACAAGTAAACACACAAATACAGACAGAGCATGGCACAAGACACAGCATGCCTCATTTTGTACATGTATTTATTTTGGTCAGGTTACTTGGTCTACACTTCATTTACAAACATGATAACAACCGCTTTTAATGCTATTAATAATTATGAATGAAACAAAATGTGAATGAAACAAAATGTGACAAAAGATATTTTCATAAAAATATTCATAAACTAGAATTACCGCCCCGCAGTGTGGTGACACATTGGGACACAGTTCTGATAACAACTGCTATTTAAATAGCAATTTCAATGTAATATAAATGAATACACATTAGTAATAAGAATAAGTGCACTTCATGAGGACAACACAGTATAATTTTTTAATCATAATTTTCATTAATAATAGCATGTCAGAATGAAGGTAGCCTAAAACATTACTTTTATATTATTTGAACAGTAATACACTGATGATCAGCCCCCAGCAGTTAAATAGTGGGCATAGAGATGAGGTATCCATTCTCCCACTGCCAACATCAGGTGAAGCTGAACAGCTGGGTCTGGAATGAATGTCTGTCCATTATCAAACTTAAAATTAACTTCAGTGTGGTGTGACAGCAGTGATCAGTGCTGCTGTTGTGCTGTGCTGCTCAGTCTCGTCTGTCCATGTCCTGTCGGTGTCATCTTTTCATGCCGTGTCATCATCAGTTATTAATTTATTTTTCACTGGGTGAGAAAATAGATGTGAAAGACTTGGCAGCCCAGATAATATCTGTTATGATGGGGTTTTTGGTAGATAGTGGAAGGGAGCTCTATGGTCCGCTTTACATCCAAAACCTACACATTCCACTGTGTTTGCTCTTAAAACCTTCACTCTGCTAATACAAACTCCGAACTCTGTACTGACAGGTCCGCTCTGCACTGGAGGTTTCAGGTTTCATTGCCAGTGTTGGCTTTTCCCCTGTGTTTTCCATATTGGGGTTAGAGTTAGGGGGTTAGTGATTGGCTTCCAGATTTGTCATGTAGCTTTCTCGGTGTACATTTAAATCTCAGAAATTAGGGAAGTGCAAAGACTCCTTCTCCCTCTTCAGCACAGGAATGTTAAATCTCTCTGGTGACAAACTTTGCACTGATACAAGTGAGTATAGTCAAGGACTGGAATTTAGGGGAATTAACATAAGAAAAACACATTCACACGAGTGAAGGGGGCCTTTGAGTTGTGTTAAGGTCTTCAGTTATATTGTTCATTTGTATCCCCTGCCTGTGTTTTCAGAGCTCTCTGGATGTGACAGAGACCTTCAAGCAGCAGAAGATAAAGCTGGTCCAAGAGGGATTTAATCCAGACGTCACCCAAGATCTTCTGTATTTCTTAGATGTCTCTCAGAAGGACTATATTCTCCTGACTGTATGTCTTTATGATGACATAGTGTCTGGAAAGATCAAATTATAAACATTTTAGGACATGTTAATGCAGTGTGAGTACAGACCGTACATTGAAAGAGAAGTAAACATAGTCCATGCCGTGGCCACATTTCCTATCTGTCTGTATTTAAAACCTGGTTTGTGTTCAGTGCCACAATGAGTGGCTCCCAACATTTTTACTTTTCAGCCCCTCAAAATAAAGATGTACCTAGCCCGCTCACAGTTTGCATGTGTAGGCAAGTTCTGAGAAGTTGATTATGATTCTTCTTTCTCGGATTGTTTTGAATAGCTTATATCAACGTGAAGAGAATTCTCCACACGGCAGATTCACAGTATGAGAGGATTTACGTCACCTAAAAAGTTAAACTGCCATTTGTGCCCAGAAGCTCTTTGAAATGATTTTCTATGTTAGAAACATGTGAAACTGGAGGAATTTTAAGGACAACATAGTTTAATGTGGTTTTCAGTAATTTCAATAATTTGTCTCCACACAGCACATCCTCATTATGAGCAGATTTAACTTTAAAGAGCAGATTTACATCACCTAAATAGTTTAAAGTCTAGGCAAAGCAAAAATAAATGTGTAATGAGTTTTTCACACCACAGAAAAATGTGTTATTAACTGTCCAGTTTAACTTGAATGATTAAAACATTTTCCAAATATATAAAATTAGGTTGATCACGATCAAAATCGTGAAAAAACAAGCAGTAATCTCTGCTCTTAGATGGTGGGGGCGTGTCCACTGAAGCAGCTAAACTGATCATTAAGCCACTGCCAGGGTGCTGCAAGGCCACAGACTCTCATTAGGAGCTAATCCAGTAGCACAGCAATGTACACGATCCTGAGCCAAAGAACAAGTCGTGTGGTGGCAGACTCTCGTCAACAGTCTATGGTCATTGCAGTCACACAGTCTATGGGTGCACGGCACACACCCTCCAAACTGGGAAACGAGAATTGCTATGCACCTATAGCCTCTCGGTCAGCAGCTGATAGCGGCTAACGTCAGTACAAAGCACACACCCACAGTGGTGAGCAGTAACTGCTGGTGGGCCGGGTAACTGATTCAACCAGAAAGAATAAAAGGTGATGGCTAATTTACTTGTATGATTGTGGCATTTGACAGAAATGTTTATTTATGTGTTTATTAAACTGAAAGAACTCAGAGAGCTCGTGGGACATAGTGAATACACCGTCAAACACAGTGGGTCAGCACTCTGAGTAAACGCTTGTTACGACCTAGTATTGATATAGTAGGAAAGTGGTTATGTTGAGGATGGCTCCAATGTGTCATCAAGCTGCCTCTTAGCTCCCCCCAAAAATCTTGGACACAGAAATGGTGAAAAAACACTTTAAGGCTCTAACTCTTAGCTCAGTACTACACAGTTCCCAGTCTTTTCATGTTTTAACAAGCATTTTCTGACATCCATTCCAATCCAATCCACTTTATTTATATAGCACAATTTTAACAAACACAAGGTTTCCAAAGTGCTGCACAACAAGCTTAAACACACTAAATAAATAAGAATAAGATCAAAAAGATAAAATACACAATAAAAAAGATAAAAGCAATAAAATAAAATAAATAAAGTACACTGCCCGCACAAGATAAATATATGCATACACATGAAAACAACAACCTACATGGTGTGGAATGCCAAAGAAAAGAGGTGGGTTTTAAAAGACTTTTAAAATGAGAGAGTGAGGAAGCCTGTCTAATGCGCAGCGGCAGTTCATTCCAAAGTTTTGGTGCTGCAACAGCAAACGCTCAATCCCCTCTGAGCTTAAGCCTAACTTTAGGCACTGTCAGGAGCACCTGGTCAGCTGACCTGAGAGATAGACTGGGTGTGTAGGGGTGCAGTAGCTCAGAGAGGTAGGGTGGGGCAAGACCATTTAAGGCTTTGAAAGCAAATAAAAGACATGTATAATCTGTTTAGAAAGAGATCACTGATTTTGGGTTACTCAGACTTTAAGCTGCCAGATGTGCCCAGAAGTTCCTAAAACAAATTTCTGTAAAAAAAAAAACAAAACACATGAATCTGGATGCATAGAAAGGATGACTTAATATCTTGTCTCGACACAGCAGATTCTTGTATGAGCATATCTTGCTGGAAAGAGCAGATTTACATCACCTGAACAAAGAAGCTGCATGTGTACCCAGAAGCTCTGCTATTCATATTAACAGTAGCGGAGAGCAAACATGCTTCATGGTTAAAGACAGCCTATTTTAATTTAAAGTAAAATAATAATAAATGAACCTCCAAGTCTCTATCCTCTGATAATTATAACAATCAGCCTATTAGATCATCTAGTGTGAAAAATCTCTATCTTTCCCTGAAGATGTTGCTATATTCAAGCTCACCAAGTATCAAAAATAGAAATGGTATATCCACATGGGGAGCATGAAAGTGCTCCTTGAATTTTATGGCGATATTCTCACTGGAATTTGAAACCACTTAGTACAGAATGTTTATATCATCACAGCATAGATGTAGATTGGTGTATGGACATGTCCCTACCAATGTCAAGGCGCTCCATACCAATATTTGACCTGTCCCCATGACCTGGCAGCCAGCTGTACTACATGTTATCGGCTAACTGCAGCATTTCACATAGTGGTAGTGGTAGCAGTGCCAGAGTGGTGATGCATGGATGAAGCAGTTTGTAGACCTATTATAGTTTAAATGTTTCATACAGTGCAGCATTGAAAATGTCTTCACTGGACATAACTAACACCAGCCAACTGATTCTATTTCATTTGAGATGTAAGCTGTTTGTGATGTTGCTCAGACATCTCCTTTTATCAAGCAACTTTCCTGAGGCGGCAAAAATGCCCCCAAAAAGGCAAATTAGAATAACAGGTCCTGGAAACACCTCATATCAATAGATATGTAGGATTACAGTAATAATTATTGAACTAAAGCTGTCCCCTTCCCTTTTCAGGAGAGTGAGTTATTATGTTATGGACCATTATATTATAGACAATGTATGTGGGGTTAATCAGCTACAGTTTGTCCAGCTAATTATGTTGTCTTTTGTTTGTTAATGTTATTCATGATTCTGTCAGCAGCAGCCTGAGCAGCACAGAGACACACAGACAGGTGAAGTCTGAATTTCATGCTTTCCGGACTCAATTTTTCAGACATTTCAGGACAGTTTTCATGCTGGGTTTGGCAGGGCCAAAAACATCATGACTCTGGGTGCAGAGGATTCTGTTACAATATGCCAGCGCTTTTGCTCTTGCATATGGTTCACAGTTGCCGCCTCCCCCATGTTGGAAGTGTTAAATGATTTTACACAAAGTTTCTCATTCCATCTGGAATCCTTAGCCACCAGGCTTTATGATTTGTGATTGATTTCATTTACCCACTGTGACTGTTCAGTTCACATGAAAGCTTTTTCAACATTTCAATGAAACTCCACTGGAAACTAACCAGTGCAATCTATAGTCAAATTTTCTCTTAATGTTTTGAATAAATCATGAACTATTATATTATTGTTCCCACCACATTTTTGGTCTCTTTTGTAAGTACGAACCAAACATGACTTGAAAAGGGTTAAACTATTTAATTTCTTTGGTGTCTGTGCAGCCTTGTTTATTAATCGATCATTTAAGATAAGATATCTTAATCAATCATTTATTTGTCACATGTAATTATACAAAGAATGAATGAATAATTTTCATTTCGGTTACATACAACTGGAGAAACAAAGATTACTTCACACAAACGTTCTCACAGTTAATAACCGAAAAAAGAATAGGCTGAAGCCTCAGGCTTATTTTTGCCCATCCTATATTAACTAAAGGATAACCCAGAATATCAAACCCCAAATTTCAGCACAGTAGGACATGAGAACAGACGTTGTGATGTGGTCCACAGCTGCCAAACAGGTCCTCATCATCTAATTGACTCTGCCCTGGGAGGAAGGAATACCAGAGGATGAGCTAAGGCGGCTCAAGTACTCTGAGCTGGTTGTGGAGTGCAGAGAGGCAGGCTGGAAAGCATCCATCCACCTAGTGGAAGTTGGGTGCAGGGGCTTTGTGGGCAGGTCTGTTAGCCAGCTTCTCCAGGCTGCTCTGTAGAGGGCCATCAAGGAGCTGGCAGAGGAGGCAGAGAGAGCTAGCTACTGGCTGTGGCTAGGGAGGAGGGACAGCTTATGGGGCCAGACACCCCAGTAGGGTCAGCTGCAGGGAGTGGCAAGGAGATGTCCCTATACCACCACTGGCTCCCCCACCAGGAAATGTACTGGCTAAATATCAGTGAAAGGTGGCATCAGCTGAAGACCCTGCAGCTGACCCCCAGCAATTTCATCCCAGGAAATTCTAAGCTAACTTTTAAGGAGTAAAGTCACACTGGAGTAAAGTACAAAAATACCACGAGGCAAGAGACTGTTTTCAATTTAAAAAGAAGGACAACTTTATTTAACAAAACTAAATGAATTATCGAGAAAATAAAATGTCACACACCATTACTAATTAGCACCAGGCAGGGAAGGGGTATGAGGACAGGGCTGGGGCTTACCAGGTGGCAGGGGCAAACCAAAAGTAGGAGGGTCCTTAAATTAAACACTGGTGACACTGCACTCACACACAGCCAAAGAAAATCGTGAAAAAAACCACCACCGCGGACTGAACTGCCACTGCAGACCCACAGCACCTGACCTAAGACAAAAAAAAGTTTAAACAGTTAAAACATGCCAAAAATGCTATATACAAGTGGTGTGTACAAACACAAGTAATTAAGTGAAATAAACAAAAGAAACAAAATACAAAGAACTACCAATAACCACTAAATTATAACAAACAAAATACACATTAAACAAATGTTACATTTAACACAAATGAAATGGTTAAAAACAGCGGAATGTCCTTTAAGTGCAGGCCCAGACATAAGCCGCTTCGTATCAGGACATTCTTGGAGAGCCACATCGGCGAGCCGAACCAGCACATTAAGAGTGAATATTAATCAAAAACCCAAAAAGCTAAAGTCAAACAAAAGGGAGCCAAAACAGCAGCATAGATTGAGGGAAAGGTGGCTGAATACTGGCTAAACAATTTACCATGGTCTGTACAAGAGAAGGCACACAACTGCAACTTAGTAGATGAATGAGTATAATTAAAATTAACATTTTAGGAAAAATGAACTCATACTTACCACTCTGCAAAGCCACAGTGACGCCCAAGAGAGCCGGAGGATGAATGGCTCAGCGCCTCAGGTCAATC